GTTACAATACTCAGTCATTCTTTATATCCCTTGACCAATTCCTCATTAGCCCCTCTCCCTCCTCCTCCCCTCCCCTTTACCACCTCTAATTGTATGTTTTCCAGAAACTACATCAAGTCTTTGTAGAATAAGGTAGGGTATAAATACAAATGTATACACACATCTCTAAAACCAGCTAGCCATATTTAGATTTGGCTGGCAGAGCAGCTTGCACTTAAGAAGCACAAAGTACATTTTTTATGAATTGTGTTGAACTGAACTAACCTGACATGTTTTTATATCCTCCAAAATAAGGTGGACGAGAATGCTTTCAGCTCTTCTGCCATGTGAGGACAAAGCAGAGAAGGTACCATCTTTGAAGCAGAGAGCAAGCCTTCACCAAACACCAAATCTGCTGGTACCTTATCTTTGACTTTTCAGCCTCAATAACTATAAAATTTTGTATAGATTCCAGTCTTTATTAAATAATGTATAACTCTCCCTACCTTCCTCCTTCTTTTTCCATGACAATGGCATCTTAGTCATGAGAACCAACATCATGTCACTTACAGGGAGAATTTAGTTGAAGCCAGTCATGCATGTAGTATCTGCTTGCTTTTCCCTAATTTGGATGACAAAAAGAAAAAGAAAAAGAGGTGAATGAACTGTTTCCATTCGGAGTTGTATATACTTCATGAGGATGACTCTACAGATATAAAACAATTCTATACAGCTGCCTTGATATGCTAATCATGGTTATTAGATATATGTTGAAGCTCTAAACCCCAGTGTGGCTGTATGTGGAAATGAGGGCTTTAAAGAGTTAATTAAGGTCAAACAAGGTCATAAGGGTGGGTCCCTCATCCAATATGATTGGTGTCCTTATAAGAAGAAGAAGAGACACCAGGGATGTGCACACACAGAGAAAAAGTTATGTGTGTTCAAGAAGGTTGCCATCTGCAAGCCAAGGTGAGAGGCTTCAGGAGAAATTAAACTTGTGGACATCTTGATCTTACACTTCCAGCCTCTAAAACTGTGAGAAAATAAATTTCTGTTGTTTAAGCCACCTAGTCTATGGTATTGTGTTATGGCAGCCCTAGCCAACTGATACAGTGTGACTATCAGGAAAAAGCACAGAATTTAAATGAGTTTTTGAACAGGAAGATCCTCCCCTTGTGGGAGGATGTAATCTTTTGGGTGAGCTGACTCCTGTTCAACTGAGGACAGGTTTGAATCATTCACAGCCAATATTCTCAGCAGACATGGATGGGTGCACCAGCAGGTAAAAGGTATCTGGGCAGGGCATCTACAGTGTCCACTACACATGCAATACTGTCGGGGACTTTGGGCTGGCTATAAAAATCCTGGTTCAACATGAATCTCCTACCATCCTCTCTCAAATTGTCCCCACTAAGTCCCTCCTATATAGAAATTCTAGATCTAACATTGGTCAGACAAATATGTCCACTTTCCTGATGGGTGCCTGAAACCAAATTTTGTTCAGAGAAGAGCATCTGATGAATTATCCTGTCTCCCTGACATTTTCACTTTTCAGAAGAAGGAGAAAACAATAAGGGGAAATATTATTCTGTTCTTAATAATGACCACCCATGCAGGACGGGCAATGGGGGACAAGCATCATAGAGAAGATAGGGAATCCTAAACTTTAGGAA